TTCATCGGCATTTATTTTTTGTGTGGAACACAAAAAATCAAATTTCAGTCTTATTTTACATTTTTTTCATTCTTAGGAATGTCTAAATTCAGTTAAACTAGCAATTCCGTATTATATTTATAAATCTTTATAACATCTGTCTCTTTTTCTTAAAAACTGAAATTTTGCCGGGAATGGGGCTTTAAATTTTTGTCTTCAAACATCCATGTGACTAGCAACTTTAGTTTGTTAAAATTTTCATCTTTTTGCTTTATTACTACTATTGGAATTACATGTAGTATCATCACTAACAATGATGGCGATAACAGTAACTATATAGTTGATAATCATCAATAACAATAATAATAACTATTGTTGTGATGAAAATTATAAAAAAGATAATAACAATTACAATTTTTTTTTTTTAATTTTAGCATTTGATCAGCGGTGACGCCAGAAATTTCCCAGGGAGGTGTCCGAACGAATGGCCGACTAGATTCGATGGCCTGGGAGAAATTGTGCTTTTTAGACCACAATAGGCATTAGCAATCAAAATAATGTTATTTGGATAGGCAAAATATTAATGATTTTTGATCCGATGACCTAGACGTGGTGTCGGACGACAGGAGGGTCCAGGCCTGTCCGATGGGGTGGCAAATGCCCGTTTCTCCCTGTTCCCCCCCCCCCACTGGTGCCACCACTGCATTTGATTAATGACTTTTAAAATTACTGATATTTAATTTTATATCATTCATTATGAACAATATAACAGTAAAGGTAAAATATAAAATTATATTTATTACGCATTCTTGTTAATTAATAGCAAGATGATTCTTAAAGGTATATTTTGGAAGGTAACATCATTATTTAGACATAGGCCTATATTTTTCTGATTCTGATCCTCTATTCGTCATTTTTGTAGAACAAAAATATATTTTTTTTCTTTCCATATATGAAAGTATCATGGCTTGGAATTTTTTTTGAAATAATATAATTAATTATAAGGCTCTTTCAACACTATCAAATTTTATGACAAGTTTACGTGATGTGCCCATATATAGTCATGATGATGTCATATTACAACCAAATATGGTTATATCATATATATTTGTCACATAAAATTGCTAACAACAAATACGGTGCATGTTAGGTGAAACTTTTTTAATACTTTGTTTAGTGAACCCGTCACCTGCCAATGCTAGGGAACTTTCGATTGATAGAGGAGATTTTTGATATGCCATTAATAATAGAATCAACCTTAAAATTGTTTTTTGGCAATTGTTTATGAAGTTAACGTGACGTAACTGGCGACAAAAGTAACAAAAGATCGCGTAAATAGTGCAGAGTAGAATATCTGCCGCGTACGATCTTTGCATGCATGCTGTAACCATGGTTGTTGTAACTTGCATAATCAAGTCATAGGCCTCTAAGTATTATCAGCGCTTGTCAATAAAAGAGCTACAGCCATGGTTACAGCATGCACGCAAAGATCGTACGCGGCGGATAGGCTACCATAAGCGGTTTTATTTACACGATCTTTTGTTACTTTTTTCACCAGTGACGTCACGATTAAATCGTATATAATAGCCTATAACTTCATAAGAAATTGACAAAAACCGATTTTAAGGTTGATTCTATTATTAATGGCATATCAAAATTCCCCTCTAGAACAAAAAAATCATTTTTCTAGTTCTCTTTTAAGTTCTCCTCGTCGCGTGGATTCTAGGACGCAATTTGGCCAAATCTATGTATGCAGAGAACGTAGGACACCCGGTAGGAGGGTCATGCATGAGTGATTCCATTCTAGCGTCGCTTTGTCAAACAAATAAAAAGCTCCATAAAATTATTACTTCGTTTAACCCACACTCGTCACCACGAAAAAATGGAAATTTCAGAAAAAAATAAAAGTTTTTCTTTATTTTTATTACGTCCGCCGCTACCTTGAAATCTCCAAAAATAAGATATTTATATTCCTTCCTAATTATATAAATTTAAAGAATTTTACCATCTCATTACTACACTGTTTACATTCATCAATATAATTTTATTTTCTTCTCTCCTCTGTCTGGATGTCCTTGGCAAAACCATTTGCAAAATAAGAAAACCTAATTTTATTTTTATTTTTTTCCACCCTCCTCTGACAATATTTCAAAAAATAAGTTCGCGAAACAAGGTATTAAAAAGGTCGCGCCTTATTTGCAGTACATTATTTACTTGAGATATAAATAATTTGCTAGAAGGGGACAATAAAGAAAAAGAGAATAAAATTATGAAAAATTAGTGCATCCAAATGCAAACTGCATTGATTTTAAAGGGACTATGAGTATAAGTCATAATTTACTAAAATGGGCTAATCAAATTAAGAAATACTGTAGGCCTAATACATTTTAAATCTCTTAAATTTCCTCCATGTCGTACCTTTGAAAGTGCCCATTTCCCAATAATTATGTTGATTCACTACCAATCAATAGCTCATAATAACAACAACTTTATTTTTGAAACTACTCTTTTGAATCAGTAGCACACGCCATGCGGTGCATTAACAATAAAACTATAAAACCACAGACGAAAAAAATGACATATATATACAGAAATAAGACAAAGCTTAAAAGGTAATTAAATAAAATTATACAGTGATATTTAAAATCAATTAATCTTAACCTAGGCATTTAAAACCATTCAAAATTATTTAATACAAGTAAAACAGGAATGGGTAAAGTGTACAAAAGGCTTAAAATTTGGATTAATTCAACTTTAAAATTTTCCAGAAATATTAATAAATTTAACGAAACATACTTACGATCAACAGTTCCATTCTTCATGATGGCTGCTGGGTCTGATGTGATAATGCCTGCACAAGTAAAAGAAATCACGTTGTTCTGTTCATGCTATTATTTAATCAACAAAGAACTAATAACACATCTAATCTATCAAATGCATGTTTCATAAATGTCACTCAAAATAATTAACATTTCACTCGGTTCCCCTACTGAAATTATCTGTGGAATGTAGGTACTTGCCTACTGCCGGTATCATTACACATAAAATCTAATGAACGCACTCTTGGTCTGTCCTTGTCTTTGAAACGTCAGTGTGTATAATTATTAATAATCACAAACTTATAGAGGTATTATAAAAATATATTTTATCAAAAGAAATATAAATTATAGTCCAAAACAGAAAATAATTAAATAATAAACTAAAAAGCTAAAATGACAATAGAATAACAAAGAACTAAAAAGAAGTGCATAAAAACAAGGGAAAAAAAAAACAGGGAGCGTCGAGTATTATTACCAGTTCCGACAATGATGGTCCGGCTTCCTCTGTACCACTTGAATTCTACAGCAAATATTAGATATCATCGAAAGAGCACCGAACTAACTTAATAAAATTGAACAACAGGTTGTTTTGCCCTGACAGTCAAATACCTCATCGTTTCACTAGAAATGCGAAACATCCATAATTCCTGAATTCCACATGGAGCAACAGTTTTAAATACGATTTAAAAAAGAACCATGAATGCTTTCGAGAAAGCCCATCCTTGTTTTTTTACAAATATTCTGTGCACTCAACCTTCTTTCCTTTCGGTGGTTTTTCGTAAGATGTTATTGACAGACTGACTTTTGCAGTCTGATTATGCATCTGATCAGTTGATCAATAACCGCCCTCTATAGTTTCCACCCTGCTGCATCGTTCTAGGTACCATAATTATTATTATTATAAATCCATCTGAAATAGTTTGTATTATTATGTAAAAACAAGATTACGAATGTTTTTAAATGTTGCAAGCAAATGAAAATATATAACTGTGATGTACATGAGGTTTCTACAAAACGAATGCCGAATGCCAAACACTAACAAAGAAAGACTCACTCACCCCAAAAACAGTTTCGACTTAATTAATTTGGCTTTGAGCTCCCCGACAGGTAGATCCTCATAGACGGCCCTGCTTCCGGCCCCTCCCCTGGCGCCCCTACTGGCGAATCCAGGAATTCGAAATAGTGGGGGCCCAGGGGACTTCCGCAGCTGATGGAGAGTCCACCACATCAGCCGCAACATGGTTGGGGCTGAGGTAAGAAAATGTTTGATTATGGCACCTCCTGGTCGGAAATGGCACTCTCATCTAAAATTTGGTTAAAATATTCCACCTTTCTCCATTCATTTATAATCTTTAACAAATTTAGGGGTGGGGGACTGTCCCCTACCCCTTTAATCCGACACTGCATCAATTGTACAGATTCGTTTTACTGTCTAAATCATCACATCAATTAGGCCTATTTGAAATGCAGATGTCAATTTATTTATCTAATTTCTTTGTCGTGATGTGTTCTGTTATAAACATGTAGGGCCTACATTGATTTTTATTTTCCATGATTGTATGATATTCCAACAAATATTCAATGTAATTGAATAATTTATTGATTTATGGAGCCAGAGCTCGGGCGGTTAGTTAATGGTCGGTCGGTCGGTCGATCGTATATTGGATGGTGATCGATCATGGGCACCCTATGTGGCAATAATAAAACGAAGACTCCTTATTATTTCACAACCAAAAAATATTTCAAAAAAGTCTGAAATGACCATCCCTCAAGATAAGCAATATAGACCTAAAAATTGGGTTTCATGTACACGTCGATGGTTGATGGATGAGCAATTACAGGTGGAAATAATACCAGTCCATGATAAATGTGATGATGACATTTTAATAATAATAATAATAATAATAATAATAATAATAATAATAATAATAATAATAATAATAATATTATTATTATTATTATTATTATTACAAATGCACACTACAACTTTTATGCCTCTTTTAATAAATAACTCCTTGAAAATCATACTGAATAAGTACGATATGTATAGACACCGCCAGCTCCATTATGTTAAGATCTAGCGTCATACTTGAATTTATGTAAATATCACGTTTCCATGACAACGTTCGTATTACGGACCTTGATTTTAAACTGTTCTCATTCGTATAATACAATGCAACCTCCTATCGGAATCGCTTCTTACGAATACTTACTGTATATAAATTACATTAGCGTGGGCCTAATTGTTACGACGCTGATAGACATGATCGTCATGATCTGAAGACTTTCAAACACGTTAATCATATAATGCTCGTTTACATTATGTAAACACTGTACTCATTTACCTCGACATTGGATAGAAATAAAGATCCGTCTGAAAACGGTATATCCTCACGTATTAAGAAAATCTCATCAGCAGCAACAATGATTAAGCTGTGAATTTAGTGCGGTAGCACTTGATTCCATATGCACAAAATCAACATGTAATGTGCGAATTCTGTGCACCGATATAATGAGCAAATTTTGAAAATATGGCACCTCTAGATCCGTAAATAGAGAACTTCCGTACTTGATAAAGCAGAATTGCAAGATGGATATGACTCAATGACGCAACAGCTATATCACTTTAAGCCAGGGACCCCACACCATAAGGAGGTCTGGGATATTCATCAGCATTTTCATTTTGCCTCAAATTAGATGAGGGGAACTTTTTAAGAGCAAAAACATCAAAATACATCAAAAACGCCAAAGTGGGGTTTGTGGGCTAACTGCTCGGTCAGCCCCTGAGGGTGTAATAATAATTTGAATATTTATAAAGCGCTCTTACACAGATGGTCTCAGCTTTTCGTTATGACACTGATTAGCTGACTTCAATCAATATTATGCATACAGGTCTCGATCCGAGACCACCTCTGGACCGGGTTTGCATGGTCCTTAGGAGCTTTGGTCTCTAATTAGAATAATATCAAAAGATGACATTTGTTAATTTGGGACCACAGAAAAGTGGTCTTTTTTTAGGTGGTCTATTGGAGAGATCTTTAAATGGAGATCTGCATTTGATTTTGCTTAGGAATATTCTACAGGCGCGGATCCGGGTGGGAGGATGAGAGCCCGTGCCCCCAGCAGTGGGAGAAAGGAGAGCTCGATTGTTTAACACACATATTTACCCTGGTGGGGCGGAGGTGGGTGTAGCGGCTTGGACTTCATATTGTGCCCCCCGTCAGAAAATCTCTGGATCCCTGTATTCTAAAACAAAACCATAGGAGTATTGTTCACCTCACCTCACCCCAACCCCCTGTTTCAGTGTTTTGAATAGGTCCTACCCGTTATCTGTGTTATGGAGTTTGAGCTTTTGTAACAGGATACAAGACAAAAGAGGGCAATATATAACATGAAATCTCAGACTTGATATACAGTATCACATATGTTACCGAAGAGAAGTCTATTAATATAAAGCGAATATTACGGACCATTACCTATGTAGAAATGGGTATGGAATGAGTTATCATAAGCCTGTTGCGAACTGGGAAATAAATATTAATATAGGCCTAATCATTATAAAGAAAGGAAATTTTAATTGGAATAAAAAAAACAAGCCTAGCAGCTAAATAGGCGTAATTTATAAGGCCTAATTAAGTAGGCCTACTTAAGACTAATCTAATATTTACAATAATACTCACAGACTAGGCCTAGCATTTTCAGTAAATAGGTGACATCAAAGTAAACTGCCTGGCCTAAAATAATAATAAAAAACAAAAAGTATAGGCCCATATGACAATTTTTAGCCATGGCAGTGAACTTTTAAAGCTTTTTAAAGAATACAAAGCCCTCATATCCGGGTCTTGTAAGTTCCTTACCATAACTCAGTGGCTCAGAAACTATACTCTTTTGCTAAACTACAAAACTTGATTAAAGAAAAATATATATCATCTTGATATATCATCGAGTGTGTGGCGAGCGCGAATGGCGCTAATGACTGTTCCATGTGTAACGATTATCATTGTAGCTTACGCGCGCGTAGACATTCGCAAAGTTTCTTATTAATTACGCAATCAATAGCCCTACATACATCCAAAGATAATACTAGTATCTTTATCCTACATCCTAGTACATTACGAAGTAATAAAGTCGTTACATACCTTTATAACATGCAGCTGGTTAAAAACTATTGTAGACTCTGTTGTTCAATTGACGTTATAGGGGCTACTATGTGTTTATCGCAGTTCCTCACAAAGGACAACACCTCTAGCTTTATGATCAATCATAATACTTGTTATATATGTATTATTTCATTATAGTGCCAAAGAAAACAACGCATACAAAGTGGTTTATAGATTGAATAAAAGCTTAGTCAGGTACCAGCATTAATAAAAGAGGAAATTAGGTGTAAATTACAAGCCATCGCTATTACTGGGGTTTCTAAGTGCTGGTAAAATAATCGGGATGCTTCCTGCTTTTGTTTTAGATAGTAGTGGGTGGGGTGAGGGGTGGGATTGATTATATGTTGTAAAAGTTTATGTGTTCTAAATCAGGGTCACACTGTTTCATTTTGGCCGTTTGAGCATTAATTCAACGTCGGGGAGAAAAACCACAATTAAATAAGCTTTTGAGACCCCTAAATTGCTAAATTGTCATACGACCCGAAGACCACTTTCGAAAGATTTTGGACGTAGCCTGACCACCCCACTTTGCTCTTGTTAGGAGCCACCCCAGCTGTATACAATAAAAGGCAAAATACTGGAAATCAACAATGTTTGGAAAACATACTTGAAGGCATGGCCTAGGCTCTAGTCGGCTCCTTGATTCGGACCCACTGTTGACAAATTTCTGGAGCCACTACTGGTGCCACGTGTGATAGGCCTATAAATGTAGATTATTATCTATTTATTTATTTCCTTTATGTCCGTCCACATTTACTATCTTAATTAAACTTTATATATTTATTATAAATATGCTTATAAGACATTTTATCTGAATTGTTAATCAAATTTGATTTACAGAATAAAACAAATAGAATAATTAAACTAGGCCTACAATAAGCCGCTATTTGACAGAGAGTGCCCCATCGTGAATTTTATGCTGTTGTTAATGTTTTACTGCTTTTAATTGACTTTCGGCCTGGATTTCAGCAAACTGGTTTCCGACGATCTGGGATTTATGTTAGTTTTCGCCTCAGCAAACTGGGTTTCGGCAAGTGGACGGCAATCTGGCATCCGGCAAAATGGGTTTAGACAATCTGATGTAGATCCCCATCACTAGTACTAAAATCAGGACCACACCATCATCGCCATGTCCATTTACTACATTATTATCATTATTATTATTATTATTATTATTATTATTATTATTATTATTATTATTATTATTATTATTATTATTATTATTATTATTATTATTATTATTATTATATTATTATTATTATTATTATTATTATTATTATTATTATTATTATCATAACTTTAAGTAAAGGTTACAAAATGGAGGCCATGTCCATGGTTAATTTTTTACTTTTTTTTTCTTCATTAGACTTCTGAAAAAGGGCTCAAGTCGGAGAGGAAAAAAAAGCAATAATATGTATTTTTTACAAATTAGTAGACTCTAAAATCGATTAAATAAGCATTTTGAAACCCATAAATAGCTTTGACCACCTCCTCCAAAGACAACACCAGCAGGAGGAGTAAAAATAAGATCGAATGAGGAAATTAAGGTCAACCTGCGCAGTTTTAGACGCGTGGCGTCATGAGCAGGCTTGCCGTACTGACTCAAGCCCAAAGACCTGATAATACATAAGAAATTCACAATCACAAGAGCATCGGCTTTGCGAAGAAACCACACTTTGACAGTGAAATTCATATTACAGACCTAATAAATAAGCATAGGCCTATTTAACGACTGGTTTTCCAAGAATGGATCTCACATTTGATTTTGACAATCACCGTCTTATACATAAAAAATCCCGTGTTTTCGTTTTTTTCAATCATTTAACAGACATGTTAATGTCAATTGTATATAAAGTTTAAATTAAGCTACAAAAAAAAATGTATAAGGCCATCCCTTACTATTTAATGCAATATTTGTCTGCAAGTTCCACGACTTAATCATTTTAGAGAGGGCGCTATGAAGCTGAAAATGATTACAGTATCAAGAATGTACTCAGAAGTCTTATCGTTTACCGAGTACCGGAAAATTGTTAAAGCATTTTTGGTATCAAAATCGGGGGCACGAGTGTCCTCTTTAACATGGTGAAAGCTCCTCTCAAAAGTTAAAGCCGTTTCAATGAAGCCCCCATTTTCATTTGAACTTCTTTAAACAGGAATTCACATGCAGGAAGGACATAATATGGCCGGCCGCCCGGGGTTCAGGCAGTGCCAGGATTTTCCCGAAGTGAAGGGGGGTACTATGGGTATAGTGACGCATTATGTGCAGCATCGGTCATTTGGTAGTGACAACAACATAGGATCGATGGACGAGATAATTAAGGGTCTTCGTTTTATAGACACCCTATATGGGCCCGGTGTCTACAAACGAAGACCGAACCCGAAAAATGAAGACCCACATCATTTTTTTCCCAATCGTGATAAAAAAATGAAATATGTACTTGGCACCTGTTTTATGATTTTGAAATACTTTCAATAAGATAATTGAGAAATTACTGGAGGTCTTCGTTTTTCGGGTCGTAATTTGGATTTTGTGAGAGCCTGGCGTATTATAATCAAAATGAAAGAGAAAAAATAGGGGTCTTCGTTTTTGGGTCTTCGGTCTTCGTTTTATAGACACCCCCGATTTAGATAGGGAATTTCAAGAAATTTGAGGTTTTTGGCTGTTGTGAGCTCGTTTCTTACTCCCTCACCCACAGACTACTTTGTTCGAGTTGGCCCAAGTGGCTTCCTGGAGAGAATATAATAAGCTTGAAGCTGATATAAAACTTAGTATGATTGGTTGGGTATTTTTATCGGAAAATAAGAAAATATAAAAACGTTCTAATCCATGATTGGCTCTCATGGGGTCAAATAATCTCTCAATCGTGATAGTCCAATTCACTGGTATGACGACATACTTCTGTTTGTTCGCAGTGTTTGTTTTTGACTTCTTTCTTCGTGTAATTTGGCCTAATTTAGTTATCAGTTGGATTTTTGTGTGCTTTTATTACCATTATTAAAAAAAACAAATGTCCTAAGACAAGATACTTGCAGCAATTGCTATATTTCTTCAAAAAAAACAAAAAAAACAAAAAAACAAAACAAAAAAAACCTGCAATTTATAGTCTGGACCGTTTGAAAATTTCCGCAGGTGTGTAGGGTAGGGCTAAGCCAATCCAGCCAACACGAAAGCGTGGACTAGGGGAAGAGAGATCTCAACATTTGTTCACTTTACATTCTACTATGTGTATTGTTAAATATGTGGTAAAATACAGCTTTTAACAAAAGAATATTTACCGTGCAAATTGAATTTTGTTAGTATTTTAACCCCATACAGTATTTAAAATGAAACAAACCAAATGTTTTTAATTGGTCGATCCTAATATACAGTTCCAATTCTAGACCACCTTTGGGACCCGATTGGGGCGGTCTCGGGTTTGGTCTCCAATTAGAGGGCTAGCTTTGTGTTAAAATGGTGAAGATTGCTATTTGGGTCTTTGGAAGAGTGGTCTCGAATTAGAGGGGTATCGGAATTAGAGGTGTCTCGATTTGGAGGGTACACTATACCTATACAGTAGGGTTGATTTGACCTCAGTTCGTTGCTTTCGTGATAGCTCAACTAGCAAATGATAAAAGTGGCAAAAACGTTTCCATATGCGAAGCCTCCGAAAAAAGGGACCAATTTAGGATTTTCAAAGGCTTATTAAATCGGTTTTGGGGTCTACTAATATGTAGAAAATACATATAGGTCTACATTTTTTCTCCCCATCCAACGTGGGGTGGGGGAAGGCAGCTCTCCCCGATGGGAGGGTAACGGCCTCCCCGGCACCCCGCTGGCGCCACCCCTGGATCCAGGAGAAGGGGTGCAATGGTAAGGGGTTGAACTATTACCATGTGTATGAAGTTACAGTAGGTGTGCACGTGTTTGCACCTAAAAATAGCTAGTCTTTGCAGTAATGCGTCCACATTCCTGAAGGCGGCGTACAAAGAATCTTACCCTACAAGAAGTTCGTGGGAACCAGTTTGTGGAAAAGTTTCTTTCCGATTTTTGTTATAGTTAGTTTCCAGGCAACTAGTACTAATTGAGTTGTTCCTGATTGTTAAAAAGAAGCCCGAAACAGCCATTAACATACATTATATTTGATATTAAAACCATATTTTATTGTATTTCCATTTATTTGTGTATTTTATAAACATCAGAATATGTATCAAAACTTTGTGTCTGCTTCAAAGAGTACAGTGGGAATCTATATTCGTGGGAACGTATATTACCATTAAAGAAGCCTCGAGTGGCCATTAAAATATACAGTATATAATTATAAACATATTAATAATTTGATATGGAAAATAAATATGAAAATACTATATATTTCCTTTGTTTTCATTTATCATTATACCATATCATTAACTTTACTACCATATAATTATAGTTAGTATAGTTTTGTGTTTAACAAACGGTAACAGCTTAGCTACCATGTTGTAGATATGTGGTCGCACATTCGGCGATCCATACACCGTGACTGAAATGTGTAACAAAAATAAAATACCATAGAATAAACCAACAATTATAGTACATGTATGTGTGCTGTACCTTATTATCAGCTTTATTGAAAATAAATACAATATTTTTTTTTAAAAACATTTATCAACGCTGGTTAACGAGATCTTTTGGGTACGGGTTGACCAAAATAAAATGTGTACAGGTTAACCAAACATGGGTACGGGTTGACCAAAATTTGTGTACGAGTTAGCAAAAATGGGTACGGGTTGGCATGGGTACGGGTTGGTTTGTGTACAACAATGCTGTGGGAAACAATGGCTGGATCTCAGTAGAGATACAAAAATGATAAGCAACAGCTAAAAAGTAAACGTAAGTAAACAGCCAGAAATAGAACCAGAGCTTTCATATATATTCATATATACAGGCCCTACATATACATATATATTCATATACATGTATAATTATATATACATAGTATGTATAAATTATTAAATTATATATATGTGTATGTATATTTTTATAACATATATTATATGTATATATGCATATATACATACATAATATATAGGGGCCTATGTATAATAGAATTTAATGAATGATTTTTAATATGATAATAATAATATATACATAGGGCCTAAATAATAGGAGAAAAGAAAAAGAAAAAAGACACTAATAAAGAATAGGCCCAGAGGAAAAAGAAAACGAAGCAGAGAAAATTAAAACTGCCCAAAATGACGTGTACGGGCCAAACGTGGGTACGGGTCGATCAAAATTTGTGTACGGGTTGACCAAAGTGGGTTCGGGTTGTTTGGGTACGGATTGAACGACACCAGATTTCTACTACTATAGAGATCAGGGGTAGCCGCATGCACCACCACCACCACCACCGGCACGCGTAGACCACTGTTGTTGAATGAGCTAGTTGGCTAAGACGTTTTTGGCCGCGGGACAATTTGTAAGTATATTTATGACCTACAAATTGGCCCTGCTTTTTGCTGTGGTTTGTACACATTGTTAAAGAAATTTGTGAAGATGAAGGTTGCAGTAGAAGGATGTGCACATGGCGAGCTTGATAAGATATATGAAACTATCCAATATCTGGAAAAGAAAGAGGGTAAGACAAGTGGCCTACAGGCGGCCTAGCCTAGGCTTAGCTAGGTATGTCGGGCCTAGCCTTTAGGCCTGTATATTCTATCTATCAGCTACTAGATTAGTTAGGCCCTAGGCCTATATCCAGTATAGGCCTAGCCTAGGCTAGGTGGTAGGCCTAGGCCTAGAGAGGCCTAGCTAGGTAAATCACATAGATTAGTATGATATTTAGGCCTAGGCCTGTGGCCTAGCCTAGCCCCCAGTAAAGTAATCTCATAGTTATAATTACCAACCGTCTCGCATCCTGCGGGATGGTATTGCATTTCAAATTGATTTTGGATGAAATGCGCATTTAGCACAAGTCAATGCGTGAATACGAACTATCACAAATTCAGGGGAAAATGTATTTTAAATTAGAAGAAAAGGTTTTATATAAAAATGGTCATACAGTAGCTTGAGTCATTAGAGTGCTTTCATTATCTCGTTCGAGAATCAAATTTGCGGTCATTGTCGCAACCAACCATTGATTATGTGACTAGGACCCAGGCCCCACCGGGGCACCGCCCCGCCCTTCCCTTAGCCAACTGGTGTGGCATTTAAAATCTCTCAGGTTGGTAACTATGTAATCTGACTAACTTGGTGAAAAGTCTTTTTTGATTCTATGATTGTTGAAGTTTTTACCAAGCTGACTACGATTTTACTGTTGTCTACAAGTTTTTTCTGTGAAGAAGCTTGCTACGATTGTTCCATACAAGTTTGAAGCGTTGACTATGAAAATATGATGGTTATAAATAAAAATACTATGATTATAAAAAACATGTTATTTGGAAATAAATGTAGACCTCCGGATAATCGTATCTATCCTGTCTTATAAACTTGTATTTAACACATTATCTTTATTCTTATCTTTACGAAATGTTATATGCACAGGGTGCTGGTTGACTGCGAACCTACTGTGACAGATCAGGGGTGGTGAAAGGAATTTTTCTACAACAGAAAACAATTTTTTATCGAATGTTAAAAAAATGTTTAGAGATAACTGAACTCTGAAAAGTTCAAGATGTTATGCCCCATATTGTGTAGGGGACACCTCTCAAACCATTTTCCATCTATGATAGTTCCCAGATTGGGGCTTCGATTGTTCCACCCATCATTAGTAATGGTTCAGCCCCTGACTTAAGCTAGGTGTGAACATGACTATGCCAAATCTAGCATGGATAGCATGGGCATAGGTGGGGGTGGGGGGTTGCCAGTGCATAGGGATTTAGTTCTGCATCCTAAATTTTTGCACCCCAGGCTGAAGCAGATAATAATGTTTGGTGATTGCTTAACAAAAAGCTGTTTTTTTTTTCAGATATAAAAGTTGACCTTCTACTCTGTTGCGGAGATTTTCAGTCTGTAAGAAATGAAGGGGATCTGCAGTGCATGGCAGTGCCAGATAAATATAAAACCATGAATTCTTTTTATAAGTAAGAATTTAATGTGTGTACATTCTTAATATTTATCTACAATATTTAGCTGCAATTCCCAAAAGTGGCATGCCATAAGTTGCTTCAGCACGGATTGCTGGTGATGGGGTTTGTGTTAACAAGTGAAATGAAAATAGGCCTATTATTAATTGGGTGATGTGATTTTCTAAAGGTTGCTGGTAAAATTAGTTGGTGAATTTTAACTAATTGATTGGCTACTTTCCAATTGGTGGGGACTATTCCCCATGTCTTTCCTTAGTTATTGTATACCGCTGCTTGATTAAATGTCCCTAATTTTATTATTATTTTATTCAGTCTAATTGTAAATTTTTTAATATATGTTGTTTTATTTTTACATGGAGTAAGTACATGATTTGAATTATGTTTCTTAAACAGGTATTATTCAGGTGAGAAAAAAGCACCAGTTTTGACATTGTTTATTGGAGGTAACCATGAAGCATCAAATTATTTACAAGAGCTGCCATACGGAGGATGGGTTGCCCCAAACATTTACTACTTTGGTAAGCAAAACACTGTTATCATGTGATCAGGTTGAATTGTTTTTGAAACATAGGTGCTCCTGAACTGCATTTTTGGCCATGAGTGATTTTAATCTGTATATTTCTTTCTATAAGTTTAAATTTTCTCTCAAATGATTTCTCATTCATCAGATGCGGATCCAGAAATATTTTTTTTTTATTCAGTCTGCCATGATTCGTAAAATACACAATTCATCCATTATATCCATTTTGAGATTTTGGCCAGGCACCCTGTGGATATATTCAGTCATATGAATTGGTCATATAGTCAGGAATATGAAATTATTAAGAGAGTTATGCATTTACCATAAATGCTTGAATCAGTGAAAAGCGAAATCAACTTCCAAACCAACAAATTTTTGAATAAAACTGCTCATGACTGAGACTTCCAGTCTTAAACTGAGGTGGTGAACCTTTCTTATCATTCAACTCAATTTACTCCTACACTTTTGGAATGATAAGGAGGTTGGCTTTACCCACCAGAACAACGAGAAACAGAGACTGCATTGTAACCTTCTAATTTATTTTAAAATCCATTTTCTGTTTTATATTATCAAAAAAAAGACCATATTACAATATAATACTATCATCCCATCGTGGCGAAATCCAGGTTTTTCGTAATCTATGTGATAGTGAATTAAATATCAACAAAATTACGAATAAGAATTACGCCTTACTGTAAATTGTAAGGCCACCAATTAAGAAAACACACCGCAGGGAACGTCGCAATACAAGCTTATTCAAAGTGAAATTCTACATTTTATGGAAATTTTGCCTGAAATCTGTCAACCACAAGGTTGCTTCCCTGATCATGATTCCAAGCATCACGATGATATCCAAGTGAGCATTTGTCATAGTAGAACATAAACCATTTTTAATTAGTCTAGGCTTATGTGGGCTGGAATTTGCAACAAGGTCTTGGACTAGGCCTTTATACTATAGTAGGAAGCCTTGTTCTAGTCTAGGCCTATAATATAGTAAAATTCTGTATAAAGTAGTCATATGATTACAGGTTTACATTGTACAAAGGTCAATATCAACGATCCTATTTATTTTTCATTGAAAATTTTAAAAAATCTTTAAAAAAGAATAAATTTAACTTAAGGATTTTAAAATATTCAAATAAACTGTACACTTAAAAAAAAAATTATGTTGACTTAAAACACAAACAATGCGATAGGATATGAAGTTTGCGAGAATAATTGGTATACCTGTACTGTATTATCTGAAGCGCCATTTGTTTTGGGGTTGCTACAACCAGCAGTTGTTACAATCAGTTGCGTTACGCTCGGGCACTGACTGAGGGTGGGGCGGAGCGCCAGGGCCCCAGGCGCGAGGGGCCCCGACATTAAAAAAAAATATATAAACTATAATACCGTAGTTTCATTCAATGGGGCCCCAACAGTTTTAAACAATAAAAGCTGGGTTCTGATGTTTGAGATCATGCTTCTGATTTTGTGATCAATCTGCTTTGCATTGTATATAGGCCCTACGTTATTAAAACATGTTTTAGTTCTCACTAAAATTGGCCTTTTCCTGTATTTATTTACACCTAAAGTACATAGCCCTACTGTAGGCCTATACCAGTCCGAAAGTCATGCACCATTCTATGTTCTTTAACAACGCAGTTAACAGATAATTTTTCAATCTCCAGCAAATTTTAAATAGCATCCAAAATCCTCCTTTTGGAATGTAATGAAATAGATAGTGCTTTTCCTTTATTGGATCGATTGTAACTCCTGATTGTAGCAACCCCAAAACGAATGGCACTTCAGAAATACAGTACAGTATACCAATTATTCTTCCAAACTTTATATCCTATTGCGTTGTTTGTGTTTTAAATTAACTTTATTTATTTATTTTTTATTTTATTTTATTTTTTTTGTTGAAGCATATAGATTTGGAATATTTTAAAATAATTAAGTTAAATTATTCAAGGTTTTCTTTTTATTTTCAATGAAAAATAAATGCGATCCTTAATATCGATCTTGGTACAATGTAAACCTGTAATCATATGACTACTTATACAGAATTTTACTATATTATAGGCCTAGACTAGGACCATGCCTCCTACTATATTATAGAGGCCTAGTCCAAGATATTGTTGCAAATCCCAGCCCACATAAGCCTAGCCTATAAAGCCTAGCATAAGGCTCGTAATCGCGGTACCTTGACCCTTAAAAATTAGCAGACGCACTGGGAAGCGTTGTTTAGGCATTGGACTGCAGCAAAAAATGATTCCCTCATCATTAATGGAACAGGCCCACGTCATTCTTGGCTGATTAGTTTTGATATACATTTCGCAAGTCTAGTGCCATACGCAGCAAAAGTCCATGTCTAGCGTTGTTGTAAAATGCATTTTAAACCAGGCTGGTTTTTGATTTACGTTTTGGAATAGAATTTGCAGCGGACGTTTGATCAAGTCAGACCTACATTTTGAGTTTGAATTACATTTTATGGAAATTAGAACTACATTTTTGAAAATTTGAACTACTTTTTGAAAAATTAGAACTTCATTTTGGGAAACTAGATCTACATTTTGAGAAATTTACAAGACTATTATTGTACTATCCCTATATCCTATCTTTTTCAAACGTAACCAACATAATAGATTAAATAGATTAAATTAATTAGGTTATTTTATCATCCAATGCAATAGGATATGCAAGTGTTTTAAACTATGGGGGCCTAAGGATAGCTGGTTTATCTGGTATCTACAAGCAACACGACTACAAGAAGGGCCATTTTGAAAAAGCACCTTACAACCGCAGCACAGCACGTAGTGCCTATCATATTAGAAATCTAGAAGTCTTCCGCTTCAAACAGGTATATTTTCTACCTTCTTTTAAAAAAATGTTTTCATTTTAACCTGTTTTTTTTTAAATTTGTAATTATTATAATCTTGTGTAAAATAAAGGCATTTTACTCTACAGTACATCTTGCTTTAGCCCATCCTTTTTGTTATCAACAAACCCACGGCCTACCCAGTTATATGGATGATTTGCTGTACCAAAAAAGTTCTCCAAAGATTAATCCAGTAGAATAAAAAAATTGTTGTTGTTGTTGTTGTTGTTAATATTATTGTAGTTGTTATTGTTGTTGTTGTTATTGTTGTTGTGTTATTGTTGTTGTGTGTTGTTGTGACAGTATGATCAATTGAAGACAAATATAAATTTACAGCAAAAGGAACAAGAATTACTATACCACTGGTGGGTCAAATGCCCCCACCCCACCCACAACTGGACAGTCCTGAATCATGTCTGAAGTTTGTGAATATCAATTTCATTGACCTTCAGATACAGATGTAAGAGTCTCTATGTAATCACAGTAAAAATCTTAATATTTTCATTACATAGCATTACATAATTACCTTTGGGTTTACATAACTACAGATACAGTTAAATACTTAAAGGGGACACCTTCAGAACCAAAAAATGTCCCCTTAATTTGGTGTCCCTTAATAGGGGTGTCCCCTGAATAGGAGATTGCCATAGTGTTAAAAGATATGCTTTCCCTTGTTTTGTGCCCGAAAACATGTCCGCTTAGTAAGGGTTTTCCCTTAAATATGGTTGTTCCCTTAATAGGGGTGTCCCAAAGGAGGAATTCTACTGTATCACTGTAAAATAATTAGCTTCTCTGTAGTATTAGTGAGTACGAATGAATGATGTTTGACATGGATTCCCTGTTGTTGTCAGTTGATGATGGAAGACGTCATGGCAGTAATCATTGGAGAAAGGTTTACAGCTTTATCCTCTCAGGCATTGTACTTCCATCTGTGCTCAGCTTCCCACTCAATCGACCTCTGTCCTCTACAGGATCTGCCTGCTGGCTTCACTGTAATAATAACTAACACCTCTATTATGGGGACACTTTGTTCCAGAAGGCATCATCTTAATAGGAGTTCCACTGTATAACCATATTATTTTAATCATATTTTCTTTTATTTTTTGACTGCTATGTCCATAAAAGAGAATAGCACAAATTTTTGAAGAGTGGCGATTCAATGAAGAGGCGTTCCTTCATTAGTGGAGTGCAACAGCTATAATTATTTAATGCTAATATTTTTAATGTAATAATTTTAACCATTGGATACATTTTACTTGATTTTATATATTGAATAATTATATAAGTTAATAACAAAAATGCTATTAATGGAAAAACTATGTAAAAATATATTATGAACTGAGAAGCACCTTCTTTTATTATACTTTTACTCATTAAATTCTATTTGCCTATGAATGGTATCACAGATAGTGTTGGGGCATATGTCGTCATTAATTACATTTATTTATGCTAATTTCCACCAAAAAATTCTATTTATTTGCATGATGTATAGTGTTTTGCTTGGAGTTTTAAATCTTCATTTTGGTCATCAGTTATAGCGCCCTCTGGTGTGTGAAACTCTCTGTTTAGTTAATTATCGTAATGGTTGTTATTTTCCAAATTATTCCTATATAATTTATAATGTAGTTTTTCATTAGTTCGTCTTAGCTTTAATCTTTAAATAGATATTGGTTTGGATAACTTGAAAAATTGCAATTTATATTAAATTAAATTCTTAGAACAAGCTATTACCATTATATAGTTGATTATAGGATCAGGAGGCATAAGCCCAAGGCCAGACAAAGTACTTTTTTAATTAAAATATAGCATTAAGTTAATAATAACGATATATATCACGTTTCTAATGTTTTTTTTTTCCAAAAGGTACGATTAGATTGCTCTAGCTCCCTATTTTAATTATATCACCAGTCCAAGATTACTATCTGTGTGTGATAGCATGGTCATGTTGGTACTGTTTCAGATCCTCCTTCAAAGCTATTCGAGGTGTTAGACATCTGCTTCTTGAAACCAATGATTTTAAGGTTCTTCAGTGGTAGAATGACCGTTTTTAGGGCTAAGGTTAAAGGTAGCTTGCACTATTTATTCCTTTGAAAGCATCAAGCCAAACTTGTTATAAAACAATTTAATAAAATGTTGTGACTATTTTTTTCAAGTTTGTGTTTTGTGCCTGGTTGATTTGACCTGAAAAGTGATAAGCGTGATAAAACTTTCATGTGCACCAGTGGTTTATCATGAGTAGGTGTCTTCATTGTTAGCACTGTAGCAATTATTTTTTTCTTACACATTTGAACATCTCAGTCCGTTTTGATATGCAGTGCTCATCATTTGCATAATTTGCTCAAACATTTCTTTCCAGGGCAAGTCAAGTATTAAGCAGGCTAATAGTTTTTTAATGCACAACGGCAAATTAGAATTATGTGCACAATTATTGAAAATTTTCCGGCAGAAGAAACAGAGCTTATCGAAAGTATAAGGACAATCACAATTGAATCACAGGGTTCTTGATCTGTTTTCCGCAACGTAATGTTGTTATGAGACACTACACAGTATTTTGATATATTGGCTTTATATGTTGGTTTTTGAGACTATTATACATTTCTAAGGGGTGGGGTAACGGGAGGCCTTGGGTTATGGGAAGAATGGCAATATATGGTGGGTCATAGGGGGTAAAAAGTTGCCAACTGTAGCACTAATTGGCATCTTAATTGGGGTCCATAGCTGTACTTAATGCAAGTTCCTCACTAGAATTCATCTTCATGTATAACTTCAAAATGTTGCAGACAATGTACCTACAGTACTCACTTTGGTGCATACAAATTCCATTGTAAGCAAGGGTGGAATCCCTTATTTTGGTTTTTGGAACATAATAAGGGATTATTATTATATTATATATATTACCAAACCTTATCTACCGTATATAATTATTACCATATTTACCATATATTACCAAACCATATTTTGCCTATGTTGTTAGCCTTGGGCATAATTAATAATATGTTAGACTTAAAAAGCATCATCCATACCCAGTGTTTAAGCTGTCATTAGCCAAATAGCCAAATCCTAATACAAAGGCTGAACTTGGCTAAATATTTTCATTCAAAATAATTGGTCTAAATATTTTCATTCAAATTAGCTAAAAAGCTTAAGAATTAAAGCTTAATTCCTTATATTCTTTTGTTTTGGCTAATCAAATTTTTATTTTGCTAATTATTTTCATACTGAATTAGCAAAATTGCTAAATATTGTTTTTTGCCAGCTTCAAAACTGCATACCATTAAGTTTTGATTTTGCAAATGACTGATTTGCCAATATATGGGTTTAATAAGACATTAGCAATGCATGTCCAAATATGGGCAAACCACACACATTTGAGCATCAACTTAAACATTGCCAATCAGATTATGTCATCCATGTTTTTGCATAGTGTGCTCTCATACTCATGTACAAGTCAAACATCTAAAGTTAGCCTGTCAAATTTGTTTAACTAGTTTAGTTATCCTCAGTGTTTCCAGAGATAGTGTCAGTTTGATCATGGTGTGATAGACTTGTTTAGCAGTGGAAGCCCTCTCTGAGATATTACTGATGTCATGCGCAATGTATTGTCATGGTGACATACCTAAAGGGCTTTCTTGTTGCTTGACTTGGTTTTGTGGTAGTGAACAAACAGCTAGCGAAATTTGTACAATCAATCATTCGGTTCATGTTGAAATGTTCATTGAACAATTTTTATGTATAACTAAAGTTAGGGGATAAAATATTAATTTTAAGCCAGGGGTAATTACAAACAGTCTTTTCAAGAAAATTTCACTCAGAAACCTGTTTGATATCAAATTCTTACATCATTTTGAATAGTTAAATTAAAGAAATGGAACCTGTTTTAATATACAGTTCTTTAACATCATTTTGAGTACAGTATATTCTCGCGTACAGTATAAGGCGATCCGTGTATGAGATGACCCCTGAGTTTGAGAAGATTTTTGCACAATTTTTGTATGTCAGGTGTATAAGAGGACCTCTCCCCCTTGTTTCGCGGGATTTCTACTTTTCTACTCTTTATGGTCTTGATACCGCATCTAGCTGGCCAAAAAAGGAAGCCAAATGTAGGGCTAATCTTCCAAATAATACCATTTTATGGGTTTTTAAAATGTTCATCAAAATATTATTTTCCCGCATTAATTATTGTGTTCATGCAGATCATACTAACATTTCAGTAATAAATTTGCATGTTACGGACGATCCGCACATTAGATGAACTTGATTTTAAAAACTTAGTGTGTATTGCACGTAAGACAACACCTTTTTTTCTATCTTAATTTGCTATTTTAAGACTCGTTTTATACACGAGTATATACTGTATTTAAAAGCATTTGCTGGTTTATTTGATATATTGCAGTTGACTCAATCACCTGACATCATACTTTCTCATGATTGGCCAAGGGGAATTTATCACCATGGTAACAAGGACCAGATTTTCCGCTTTAAACCATTCATGAAGGATGAGATTGAAACAACAACACTAGGTAATTAATACCATTGTTTTCAATGTTTATTTGTCATTAATGAGATTTGGAATTACAGGTCTAGCTATCAACTTCAATTATTTTTGTCGGCCATCTTTATTTTATGATGACTTGCAACGACAGTAATTGGCTCGCGAACCATTGACATTTGAATACAGCGCTGCTATAATATAATGATGTTTAATCTTAGTAATACTCTACTGCCATTCTAACAGGCTGGCTGATAAAGAAATAATAGACGCTGCATGTCTGTGGAATGCAGTAAATTCAGAGCAATAGTATTATCTCTTGATGTCATGAAGTTGATATTCTTTAACCAAGTATTATTTCATTTCTTTAAAAATTTTATTTAATCTTTGCCAATATAATTTTATTTATATAATGATACAGAACTAATAAAAGGAAAAAAAATACTGTCTATTTTAAAATTATATTGTTATTAATTATTTTATTATCAACATACAAACTGTTATAGCAATTAGTATTATCAATTGTGTTATTATCCCACATAACACATTCAACATTAATACTGTATGTGTAGTATTCCTTACTCCTGCTACTCAGTGTTCATGGTCTTCTTACATAGCACGATTGCTCCAGTCTATTTCTACTGGTGGTGATACTCCATATGGGGTGGCAACTTCACCACAGTTGAAATGTTTTTACCTAAGATACTGTACATTGTTGTATGTTTTGAAATTAAAAAAAAATACCAAAAAATTGCCTTTGTCTTAGGGAGTCCTCCTGCAGAAGAGTTGCTACATGATCTACAGCCTGACTATTGGTTTTCAGCCCATCTTCATATCAAATTCCCTGCCATTGTTCGACATCAGGTATGTATTTTGTATTACTATTGTAATGCTCAATATAAGCCTATTATTTACACATAATTTTTCTTTTCCCAAGTCTGTGTTTAGTTCTCTCCATTACTTTGTTGGTACTGTAATGTACAGTATTAGTGTGATAAAATTGTGATGTGTAAGTCTCAAGTAGCGCCGTCTTTTGAATGAGCTGTTTAAGCCATTGGTTTTGTGTGCAATATGGCCCAAGAGCACATTCAAGAATGCAGTACATTCTTTGGAAAAGAGTACTGTAGGGGATTTTCTTCTAGTCTACAGCCCAATTCACCACCAAACCCAACCCGACTGGAAATTAGTCTGCTGAGATTCATGGGTTATCCTTGTGTGTTTTGAGTGAGTCAAATGGCCGAGCAGTTAGGCAGGGGCACCGTAACCATAGCCAACAATACCGGCATGTGTTCGCGGCCGCCTTGCTCCTAGTTCTGGTGGTGGATCAAGTCTTCTTGAATAAGGTCTATAAGCATAGGCCCAGTGTACACAAATGCTCACGTGCACTTTAAAGAACCCAGTACATCTTTCAAGACGAGTAGGGGGTACCCCGGTGTACTGGTCCACTCGGCTCCTGTCGTGGACAGATGAAAGGTGCAGCGGTTTACCGGCTGCAGAGGACATGAAGCGACACTCGAGGGAGGAGAACGTTATCGAAAAGAGCAACATCTTGTCCACTGCGCCACGAGCAACGATTGTTGGAATGGTGCAATATAAATTGAACAATTTGATTTTTCATTTGTGTTTCACAATAAGAAATCCAATTCAATTCTTTGTTCTCTGTCAACTTAACCCTTTTTTATTCGAAAGAAACTGTTTCCAAGTTCAAAATATTTATGTACAAATTAGGAAAATGTTTGTTGCTATGGTTGCCAATCTGGAATATTTGGGTCACCATCTCAAAGACATGCACAAAGCATGCAACCATGTGGCAGTAACATTTTATTGTGTGTCAAACTTTTATGTTTATAATCAAAAAGCGAATACTAATAAACATTCTGATCAATTGAAAGTGCATAATATTGTAAATACTTTTTATACCTTGTTTCGCAAACTTATTTTCTTAAAGATCGTCAGAGAAGGGTGGAAAAAATAAATAAAAATGAAATTTTGTTTTTCTATTTTAGCAAATAGTTTTTGCCAAAAAACATCCAAACGGAGGAGAGAAAATAAAAATAAAATTTTATTGTAAAATATAAACAGTGTAGTAATGTGTATTTTGTTAGATTTCAAGGCAGCGGCGGGCATAATACAAATAAAGAAAAACTTTTTTTTTCTGAAATTTTTATTTTTTCTGAAATTTTTATTTTTTCATGGCAGTGAGTGCGCTAATTGGCCAAAAATAAAATTTTATTTTTATTCGAAATCATCGATATTAGCTGGCGGCAGGTTTGCTAAACAAGGTATAAAATAAATCTGATTTAAAATATTATCCACTTTGAATTTGATAGTATATTGTATAATATTGTAAATCACTGAAAATGATGAAAGTAGAAAATATGTTTGAAGCAATAAGAAAAATTATGTCATAAGAAAATCCTTTTAAACATGATGAAAAGGGTGGTGATGTATTTTTTCAGATACAAAAAAAGCAGGAATTATCAAAGACTGTTGAATAACAATTTACATGAGAAGAACCGATCTTTCACTCTGATGGTCCACCAAAAAAAAAATTATTCTCAGATTACAACCCGAAGAAGTAGCAGAAACTGTATCTAAACTTATTAATGTTCAAGCCTGCGGGCCAGATTGTATTCCAAATTACCTGCACATGTTTATAAGTAGTATGCCAAATCTTTAACACATGATTTGAATGCAATATTTGCTTAAATAGTATTGAGCAAGCCATAATATCTCCACTACGAATGCAAAACCAAAAAAATGACCTGAAAACTCTTCGTCCGCTTATCGATTGCGAACAATGTTATTCACTTCACACACTGGTCCATTGCGAAGCATGCGATTAAGAGAGTACATAGTTTATTCATGCAGGTTTTAAATCTTCTCACTGTGCCTGAAATCTAAAGCAAAAACTTATGCCCAATAAGCCTTTGCATTTTCTGCCTCTTCTATCTGGAACAACCTACCCCAATCTATCAAAAGCTCGCCCACAATTTTTGTGAAATATTTACGCGCTGTTTACTGAATGATGCCAGATGCTGACAAGATGGCATCAGGCTCTCAAAACACTGTTAAATGTAAAAGTAAACTCATCTTTTTCTTCTGAGTTTGAAAGTACCTTGGTCTCATTGCAGTGTGGTAGCTCATCTGGTATAATATTTACTCTAGCTTTCACTGGCGGTTAAATTTTGTGAGGTGTATTTTTCAAAGACCAAATTTGGCTATTTCAAATGCTGGAACATGCTGACAATGTAGATTTTCCTGATGAAAGTGATACTGCATTAAAAAAATTATTACCACAGATAACAGCTGTTCTTAAGGAATAGAATCTTTTTGTTAATCCTGACTAGACAGAATTGGTTTGTTTTCAACTTGGTGGAAATGAATCTTCGAAAACTCTTTAACACTTTAGTATAAATCATTACCATAGAGCATGATATTAATTGTGTTTTACATTCAAAAGGCAGAAGAAAATCAGGTCAAACAATAATTTCTTGATGGAAAAGAAACTGCATACTTGAAACATCACCAAAGATGTCACCTTAAAAATATCTTATAATTTAAGTATGTTATCGAAAAACACCTCATAAAAGGACACTGGGGGCGCTCTCTGAAATTATCTAACACTAGGAAAAATCAATAAATTAGAGACTTATGTGGCATAGGCCTACAGTGATCTTGAGTATGCATTAGCTAATGTTCTAAACTTAACTGGTTATATTGGAGGCACTACCATATTTTTGTAACAATAAGATTAATATATAGTCAAGGTTTTTGAATTAGAAACACCAAATGATTTGGTATGCGAATTGATGAATTATAGAATGAGCAGGAAAGTTTTGTATATTTAAATGGAGCTTGTCAAAAATGCCCAAATTTTCTTGTTTTTAATGAAAATTATTCTGTATTACAAGAGCTTTGTAGCAAATGATAAAAAAAATCTTGTTGAAAATGAGTTATTTTTTATGTTTTAAGAGTGACTTTGTTTTTATGTTCTTTATTACTTTGAAGAGAAACATATTGTAGATCTGACTGATTTGATTTATCTACTTTTTAAAAATACTAATATAACAAATAAATAATAACAACATCCAAAAGTTAGAATAGAGCCTCCTGTGGTTAGGATGCTGGCTTAGAGTTCTTGTTTTTTCCAATTACAACTGCTCAATTGTTGAGACTCTTTTATTTTGCGCAATATAAATGTATAACCTTTAACCTTTGACTGTGTCAGTGTCTTGTACGTCCACATGCAATAAGTCTAATATTTTATCCAGGGATTTACAGGCATTATACATACATTGTTAAATGGGTCCTCTAAAGTGGCTTTCGTACAACCTCTCATTAGACTCGTGCTTACAGCGTACATCTTAAATGTCAAAATGACCGCATACATGTATGCGCCTACGCGCTACACGCCTGTGAATTGCAGGATAAATAGCTAATGGCAGAAGAGGGATGAATTATTTACATTCTAGTTAAAGCAAAAGATGTGGCGATAGGTCATGATTGTCATGTTATGCAAATACTCTATTGTTACTTATTTGCTAATGGTCAGTTAAAACTGGCTGTAGATTACTGTTCATAAATGGTCCGTGAATATCATTAAATGTGAAAAAAAGACTAAAACATAATATACAGCAGTAAGAGTTAGAGAAAAATAATGGATCTTGAATGTGTAAACTAGAACAAAATTAAAGTAGGATCTCTTCAAAAATATCTTATTGGTTGGAAGCTCGTTAAAATAGCATCTTACCTGCAAATTAAGAATGGTATCTTACATAAATTTCAAAAGATAGAAAAAAGAAAATACTGGGCAAAGAGAATTGATAAAAGAACAGAGGCTGATTACCATAATACAGGACACTTAGATTAAAGTTTATTTTTTTATTTTTAAGATTTTATTAAAGTTAATAGCTTTAGCACAGCAGAACACACCCGTGAAAAAATATTTCGTAACTTATTTGCATGACAGATAAACAACACAGTTGGTATTTAGTAATTTAATAATAATATTATTAGTGTTTTATACTGACAACCGTAGCCATTAAAACCTGCCATGAAATACAATATTCTGTATTCAGTTATTTGCGTTAAAGATGAGGTAATGTAATGAAGAAAAAACAAAGTTCATGAACTTTAACTGTGTTAAAAATAGCAGTCCTCAAGAATTAGTAAAAGAAATATTCCAAGCGAAAGAGATTCTCTTACTATATTTTCTTTACATCTTTGCATAAACATTATGGAGACCACGGTACAGAATCCAAACATTATATATGTTTTTAAATAGTAATGATTATTATAAATAGTGTTTTATTGCCAGTTATAATATCTTTCGACTATTTTAAGTTTTATTCTACGTTTTGTTCTACTCAATCACCCCATTATTTCATCTAGCCTATGGTCTAGGCTACATTTGTCTGACTGATTTTTTATATACCTTATTTTATGAACTCACCGCCAGTCATTAATTATTACTACCGCACTGTAGTTTTTTGTATATAAAAGTGATCCTTATGTATAAGCCCACCTTGGCTATAACCCCACCCATTACTTTATATCCAATGTTAGTTACCAGTATTTCCCTGGCAAAAGCCCAGGGTGTACTGTGAATAAGTAGCTCAACTGACTTTACAAATAGTTTTTAAAAAACAAAATCAAAGATTGGCTTTAAATCAGGCATGCAGTGTTGAGATTTTGACTTTTAATTGCCCATCCCTGAAGTTGAAATTATGTTTTTTATGACCCACCACCCCACCCCCAAATTGGCACAATTGTTGGTACAAAGGGTAGGAGCTATACTAGATGAACTATGGTAGGTAGTTTTTTTCCCTCTTTGTAGTTTATCTAATACTTGTTATCTCTACCTGTATGACAAAAAACAAAACTAACTGTACATATTTATATGTTTTTAATTATTTTATTCAGTATTTTATTATGTATTAATTGGTAATAATAGACCTGGTAGTTACCAAATTTTTTATTTCCTTATTTCAGAACAATGATGGAGAAGAAAAGAAGACAAAATTTCTTGCGCTGGACAAGTGTCTGCCAAGACGTCAATTCCTTCAGGTCTTGTAAACGTGATTAATTTCTCAGCGGTTTTTACAGTGTTAATGCATTGCTAAATATAGAATAGCAAGTTTTAGATGAATAGACTAGTACTCCAAGTGTATTAATGTTGATATTCATTACATGGTGACAAGTCCATGTAAGACCACAATGTTTGCATCCTCTGTGATTCAGACGTACAGAATATCATGGCAATCATTTTTTGACACCAATGTACATTCTTTTGTGTGATGAATGTGTCTGCGAGATTTGTCTCGTCACATGTGATATTTGTCTCGTCACATGCGATATTTGTCTTATCAAATGTTTGGCAGGTCTTTAAAATGGAATTAAGTAATATCAACACTAACACTATATTTAGCCATCTGTTTTACTTAGTCCTAAATCTGTCCTTGCAATATCTATCTTTCAGGCTTTCAGGCTTACCACTCATATACAATGTACAGTAATAGTTAACTTTTTTGATCTGTTAAAGAAAACCCTGAAGCAATTAATGTAATATTGAGTAAATACAACTTTCTTATATAACCTACTTCAAGAAGCAACATTACCAATAGTCATTGCCACAACATCCTACCACGTAACCATTTATATATCTGGGGGTGGGGGGCAGGGGCGGAGAGAGACAAACATAGGTAAAGTGCCTTGCTTAAGGACACAATCGAAATGCATACAAGAAATTTGGACCATACCTATATTCATTCCATAAACCTTAAATTGGATGGTTGACAAATTTCAAAATTTTAATAGAAAAAATTTAGCATAACATATTTAATCCTTTTAAATAAGGAATTACCTTAAATTTGTGTTTAATTCTTCAGATTTTTTACAAACAGTATTTTAAATATTGGGAAATCCAACAAACTAAAAATTCTCAAATTAACTGCTATTGGAAGCCTGAAATAGCCTACTGGGTGCAATACCTCTTTTAGTGAACTTATTTTTTATTAAAGGTCGTCAGAGGAGGGCAGGAAAAATAAATATAAAAGTTGTCTCTTATTTAGCAAAATTATTTTGCCAAAAGCATCTATTCAAAGGAGAAAATAAAAATAAAATTTTATTGATGAATTAAAACAGTGTAGTAATAAGATTGATAAATATAATTAAGGAAGAAGTACAGTATATATATATATATCTTATTTTTGGAGAATTTAGGGAAGCAAGGGTGTAATAAAGATACATTTTTCGTGGCTGAGGGTGCTAACTGGCCAAAAACAAAATTTTGTTTTTATTCTAAATCACAATTATTGGCGGTTGGAGTGTTCGTTAAACAAGGTGTTTAACGAACGCCTAATGTCATTGTGGTTGAATTGGCAAAAAGTAATTGACAAGCCATAAGAAAGTAAAAATACAAAGAAACAACAGAGAAATTAAATTAAATCATTTTACTGTAGTAATATTTCCATTGTAGCCAAAGGCTAAGTTGCATAAATGTTAATTTGAAAATAGCAACGCACATCAATAATGAGTGCAGATTAAAATATTTGATGATGAAAATATTTATTGACAAAATAGCTCCCACATTTGATAAAACTGTAGTGTACTCCTGATCCTCCTGATGATGACATAATTAATGTCAAAATATTGAATCCCGACATAATGGCATGCATTTGGATACTTGGAGTATGTATTATACTATCTTATCTGAGATTAATCCGTGGACCTTTCGGTTGTTGTACTCTTTTTAGGTGTTGGAGATACCAAGCCAGGAAGATGCGCCATATTCACTTTCTTATGATGCCGAATGGCTAGCCATACTTCAAGTCACTAATGGATTAATGACAGCCTCGCCTAAGCTGGTTCATATGCCTGCTCCTGGTTACAATGCCAAGTAAGTACTCTGCTATCAAAAACCTAATGATCAGTGCCATCAACCAGTTATCCCAATTTCCCCCACTTTTCTATTGCACTAAATCAGTGCAAAACTATTCACCATCATATGCAAACTGGTTGTTGTGGTGTAAGTTGCTAACAGATTATTAATTTTTTAAACATGTGGGCTATTTGTAGAAAATAACAGTGTTTTAGCATACTAAAATGATAAAAACATGGAAAACCACTATGCCTATGCTTTGGTGCCTTCGGTATTTAGGACCATCTTAGCTCAGTTGGCTAACCTGGTGGTAGCCACTGTGTGTGCACAGAACTGTTCAGATTGTTGCACAACATTGGTCCCCGGTTCAATTCTATCCACTGCTCACATTTTTTTTTAGATGAAGGGCTGAAATGCAAGTTTCAGTAAGGCCTTTATAATGAGTTGTGTAAGCTATTGTTTGTGTGTGCATAGCCAATGTACACATTAAAGAATACAGTACCTACATCAAAAAAGAGTAAGGGATTCTATTTTACTGCCCAAATCACCACTAGAAGGACCCACTGGAAATAACTCTTAAGACTTGGTTGTCTTTGGTGCATAGTTACCAACCTGAGAGATTTAAAATGCGTGAGTGACTACACCAGTTGGCTGAGGGAGGGGCGGGGTCCAGGGGTTGAGCTCCGGCGGGGGTGTGGCCGGTGGTGCTCTGACGATCTCAGCATTTTAAGCTCTTTTAAAATGATTTCAGGGAGTGTTTGTTGACAATACAGGTACATAAGCCAAATATTTTTAATAAAGCTACATACAATTTGAGTTTCAAGGTACGTTTAATTTGAGCGCCCGAAGTAAGTAGACAAACAAATATTTCTTTACTTATCAATTTTTAGTAACGCGACAGTGAAATAAGTATTCACATAAATATTGTAGTTTCTAATGACTTAAGTTACTGCATGACCGTTTTTGATATTTTTAATAAAACCAATTTCTTCTAATTTTAAATACATTTTCCTCTGAATCTGTGATACTGTAGTTCGTTATCACGCATAGACTTATGCTAAATGCGTGACACATTTAGGATCATGCATGTTTTTCTGCAAAATGCATGTTCCATCCAAAATCACTTTAAAATGCGAGACGGTTGGTAAGTATGTTGGTGTATTTCACGCCGAATAAATCTATTCCAATCCATCCAAGTTGTTAGGCCTCACTTCACAAACAGTTTGAAACAAACTAAATGTGACTAAACCCTTGTGACCAGTAGAATAAATTTATTATCTGAAATTTGTAATGGTATAGCAGCAAAGGTGGATTGGTAGCTCTAGTAACAGTGGTAATAGGATTACTGTGGAGTTGAATAGCTTGGTGGTTAAGATGCTTGCCTTCTAATCCCAGGGTCGTGGGTTCAATTCCTGTGACAGCACACAGCTAATCCCCCAAGCGAGACCCATACCCAAGACCACCCCATATTTTCAAGTCTCAAAGTACATATAAATTCTGAGATATTTGTAAATAAATAATAGATGCCATGCAGCTGCCCCACTTGCACTTTACTTCCACATCCCACACCAAGTTGGCCTCAGCTTAATACAGCCAGTATTAGCCAAAGAGTATAGAACTGCTCTGATTTTATATGCACACAATGAAACTTTAAAAAAAGTACTACCACGAGATAGGGGGTGCCCTATTAGAATTTAAATAGAGTTCAAAACTTGCCTATTGGAGGACGCCCTCTAGTTCTTGGTAGTATTTTTGAAATAGGATTACATTTCAACAAAACCCAGAGAGTCAGAACTCTTGCAGTTCCGTACTCTTTAACTATTGAACTGAATGATTTCAGCAAATACATATTCAAGAAATTTTTTTTTGTAGTAACAGAACGTAATATCTAAAACTTTTAAACCGTATATTTATTCTCTTTTTATATTTATCTTATAACTTACTTATGTAGATATGACTACAGTGTCACTGCAGAACAGATGGATGTGGCGAGAAGTTCTATGGGAGATACGTTAAGGATCCCTGAAAATTTCACCAAAACAGCAGAAGCTTATAATCCAAGAAACTCAGTCGGAAGAGCACAACAGCCGAGTGCATGTGTGAATCCACAAACCACAGAATTCTGTGCAAAGCTTGGACTCAAAGATCCCTTCTTCCTTGGGGATAGTGGAGACAATTTTAAAATTTCAATGTCAGATGAAGCTGCTGGTGAAACTTCAATTAACGAAGATTTTATTGATGATACCATTTTAGAGACATCAGTAAATCCTGATGAAATCTCGATAAATGATGATGAAGATGATGACGATGATGATGATGATGACGACGACGACGACGACGAAGACGACGAAGATGATGATGACGTTGATGAAGATGATGACGATGAACTAGTTAAAGAAGTTTCAATTGAAGAAAAAAAGGTTTTGTTTTTGGAAGATGAATTTAAAGAGGAAGAAGAGGAGATATTAGCTGCCATTAGAAGGAGAAGTGGATCAACATCCTGTAAAGATCCCTTATCATTGGACACAAGTAGTGATGTTCTGTTGCAAAGTGAAGTTGACAGTGACATTGGTAGTACAGTACATGACATTGCAAACCTAACCGATGCAGGTAAAACCTCAGCTGATACAGATACTGACCATTCAACTTCCTCATCTCTTGAGAAATTTAAAAGACGCAATGAAAGTGTATATTCATCACAGGATGAAGACACAGACTTTAGCTCTAGTTCAACCAGCCCGGGGGTAAAAAAGTTCAAGCGCAGAAACTTAAGCCTTTATGAAAACAGAGATGAAGACTTGTAATTTTTATCAATTGTAATAAACAATCCATATTTGCCTCACAAAAATGATCTACCATTATGAAGGAACACATAGTAGTTTTGGGAGAATTTCAGTTTTCGAAAACTTTGAAGGTATGTTAGTGCATTTTCATGTGGATTTATCATTTACAGCTGGCACCTGGAATAATTTGCATATTAACCATATTCACCTTTTAATGAATTGCTTTGTAATAAACTCATTTATTTATTTGCTTTGTCCATAAATGTTTGCATCCTATAGTCAGCTGACACCTGAAATAATTTGCATATTAACCATATTCACCTTTTAAATGTATTGGGTTGTAATAATCTCATTTATTCATTTGGTTTGTCCGTAAATGTTTGCATCCTATAGTCTGTTCCACGGTGCAGAATTTGGGTTACATGGTCTGCAAATGAACTGATCTGTAAGATATATTTGGTAGATATACATGCTCCGCCAAATGTACAGAGTCCTTAAACATATCCATGGTTCCTTGGTATATAGTTCTTAAACTTACTATTGCCTGCTAACATAATGTTATGCTAAATTTACTTTGGGGTAGGGAAAGTAGTTTGAAGTGGGGGAGGGGGTAATCAATAGTGTAGATCTGCAGAAGTGTTTACTGAGGTTGGTATTTGAAAAACAATAACAACCTTGTACTTATTAGTTTTTTACTGTTTTATTACATGATCAAACAATTGTTGATTTTACATATGTACTTTAGTCATTTCTTTTTATGTAATAAACTTTTTAATTTTAATAGATAGGTACAAATGTGATAGTTTTATGGATTGGTGTTGCGCTTCAATCATGCTCAAGCACACACAACTAATGGTTTATTGAAAGAGTTGGTAATATCGCTCCAGGTTTCCAAAAAACCGACTGATCTTTCTCACTCGTTTTTGCGAGTAACATATGGAACTTATGAAACAACATAATACAGTTACATTATCACATCCTCTTTGATTGAGTTCCAATAGTATGTAACCTGTTTGTATATTCTCTCATATTAATAATAACTTTATTTGAAACGACGCTTTTAAAACACTGACACACGCTCTTTGCAGTGCTTTTGTAAAAGTAACATATGTACAATACAATATAAAATGAGACGTTAAATACAATAAAACATTTTAAAAATTTGCACTAATGTTGGGTATTTACACGGTTCATCACTTAAAACGCCTGTTAAAATGTTACTGAGGATCTGTCTTTGAAATATTAAAAACGATAAGAGAAGGAGATAAAATGGGACCACAGGGTAGGAATGAGATCTCCAAACATAAAACAATTTCAGTGTTGTAAAATTAAACATACATAAGTGTTCATGCTTAAAATACATGGAAACAGTAAATTTATTTAATTGATAAAAATAGTATTAAAATTAATAAAAAGAAAACATACAGGAGTAATGCTAAATTCGTGTTATATATCGTAATAAAAAGCTTTAAAGAATCTGCATTCCACCACTTCCATAAAAGCTGAACCCACCCTTCTTTAAAAAAAATTATTTGGCTGATTGCCAGCTTAAGTGTTTCTGACTCGTAGCGCGACCTAATGTTTTGATAAATGCTCATCGTTTTTGCTACACAGATTTGCATTTTTCAAAAATTTGACAAGCGGATTACAATCATTCTTTGTAGAGTAGTATATCAAAATGTGTACCATACTTTCAATATTATTCCGAAATTATTCGTTCAATAATATACAGTAACATCGGTGTATATGATTATATGATATGTCACAAACTAGATAGATATGTTAGTATACAAGACATAAATTTAGATGTATTCATCTCCTACGTAAGCATCCGCAGACTGTAAGATGCATAAATTTGCTTCATGAAATTGGCCCCAATTCGGCCAGGAAGGAGTTTGCACACAGGGAGAAGAATTCAAATAGGTGGCCAACAATTTAGTTCGCCGAATAGCTAAAGATCCACGATCGAAGGCCCGGGAAGGTAGTTGTGGTAGATCATGGCACTCCTTTATTTTAGAGGGTCAAGTCAGAGGTTCCAATTTATAAGAAACTCGGAAATAGGAACGGTCGCCAGCACTCCCACAAGGAAGGGAAAACGTTCAAACTGATGCACATGTAGGAAATAATTCAGAATGCTTGAATTTTAATACTGCTATGATATTGCCACCCTGAGGTTAGCTGGCCGATGGTATCTCCACGTGCAGAATATTAGCATAAGATGTGATTAGATCACACCTCTCTGGAGTACTTTCTCCCAACTTGGGATCCCTGCATTTTTAAATGAGTTCGATGGCTACGACGACAGAGGTTTGCGTTTCTAACGACGAATGTTTCAGTGTAAATTAAAAAGAAGTTTGATGACATTAAAATACAATGAGAATTGAAATTATTGTTACGAACGGCTTGAAATAGACTTGATTACTACATCTGGTAAGTGGTGATTCGCACTTTACTGGATGAAAATGAAATAAAACGTTTAGAAACGTTTCTAAAACCAAGAAAGCAACAATTCATTTCTTGTTTGGTATCTAATTCTTCATATCTTTTATTGCCACCAACTGCAGCTAATAGCTGAATAATTTATATGTTCTTTTACAATATAAAATATAGGCCTACATTTTTGTTTAGAATCTGAATTTATATAGCGCCTTTCACAATCCGAAGAATATACAAGGCACTGACATCGTTACTTCCCTGGTCACTGGACTTTATTTCCTTTTAAAAATTTATTTTCTGTCATTATTCAAATTGGTATTACACATAGTGCGGCGCCAGTACCAACATGTAAACGGGTATATTATCCCTTGCCCCGCAAGAAGCAGACACACTTCTCGCAAAGACAAATATTATTTATGCTTCCGTTAATTTGATGAGGAAAATTATTTTACTATTCTAATTTTCACTTACTAAACGAACATAGGCAATTCAGATTTGTATTTTAAACAGTAACACTGTAACAAAGGCTCCACATATTTACGGTGATGCCAATGTGCACCAGTGCACCAATAACAGCTGATGTCCGCAACCTAAACACGAACAGAATTATTTGATAAAATCAGCTCAATAACAATCGACGACATTGATCCCAAGAACAAGTTGAGAACAATGAGTTTGTGTTTGTCTACAGAAACGTTTGTCTAAAAAAAAAATTGCAGAAGGGTGTGATTTTCTCATCATCTGATATTTGTTCATAATTTATCACTTTTGTTTGTCACAAGCTAATTACTGTAAATCTTCTGCAAGCCCGATAGAAGTCACTGAATGTCATAGTCTATGTATAGATTAGGCATACGCATTTAGAACGTGTCATATTACAGGTTCTACCTAAATAATTTATGTTTGATATGAGAGTTGATGATGATAGTGTTAATGATTGTAATATTATATCATGATTATTATACATCTTGTGTTTTTGGCGAAACTTTATTTGTTTTTGTACTAGCCAGTGGAATGTATTTTAGGAGAAATGTTGGTGCTCGGATGACGTTTAAAGTCAGTGCAGCCAAAATACAACAAACAAACACGTAATCAGATCCCAAAATTGAACCTATGAGCCTCCAATATTTGTATTCTAAACATGATAGGTCTACTGCGCTCCGCTCCGTGGGCGTCGAACCCACCCCCCCCCCTTCCACTTTTTTGGCGAACCTTCCCCTCCCCTTTTGAATTTCCCGAACGAGTCCACCAACACCCAAAATGCACTGCAGACTCACCCATACACAGACGGAATGTTTTGTTGTTTTGAGCTTACCAAGCATTAAATCAAATTAGCACCTAATTAATCTTTTAGACCCATAAAATACAAAAATCGTTCTGGCTTCGGGGCCTTCGCACCTGACCCTACCTGGGCTTCACCCATGTACACCTCCGGGGACCTTGGGCGGGCCCCTGGATCCCACGCCGAGAGAACCCCCTTGGAAGAACCTGGCTAAGAACTTGGCTGCCTGGTCTGAATATTGAAGTCAATTTATAGCCAACATTTGGTTTGCTGATCGGAGACTACCTATATAGCTCTGGTAATGTGCTTTATTAGGGTAAGTCCTCAACCAAGGTCCAGTGGTTGAGACCACAGAAACCAACAATTTGGGATTTGAAAGCTGATCGATTTCAGAATTCCATCTGTTATAACTATGTTAACTTTTGTATTAAAGACCTGGTGGAAAATGAATGTTGATATATAATTATCTTTTCAGTATACATAAACTTGCATGAAGACCTTTATAAGAAATTAAAGTAAATATGGCATTTAAAGGGCTTATCTAGTTATCAATTTCAGAGGGTCATTATCCGTTCTTAATAACTCAAAATTAACGACCTGAAAATATTGAGCTAAAAAAATCCCTAGATAATTATGTTCCTAATGCGTTCATCATCATAAAACGATTGACTAATTATGCCAGAAGTGTATGTTATGGTTAGAAAATGAAATAAGCCTTAGAAAATGAAACTTATTCCAGCGCATAAAGAATTATGTCTTAATTTATTGATTCAATTCACTCGCTTGACCGTACGAAATGGCGAGATCTGACTCAATGTGGAAGACTCGTTCATCGATTAAATTAGTAGTTGTATAAGCGGATGTTTAACCCTGTTGCTTATAAGAGACATGGATATTCATTGCATGTCCTTTACGTGTACTGAACATACTGAATAAATTAAAATTTCCTCGATTTAGACATTTATATGTATGTCTTTAAAAGTGTGCAGGTTTATATCAATCACTCTTTAGTCTAAATGGAAATAAAAACGAACATGTTGGAAGAGTGTTTAAAAGAAATTCAGTCTAATCGAAAATCTTCATCAAATCCATCAATTGTACACCGGTTTGTTACACCGAATTTACCATGGTATTTGCCACAGCTAGGTCAATAGACCCTTTTTTGACATCTCCAGTCGTCTGTTCCTCCTTCTTTGTGTGACTGCAAACAGCCTGATTCACTCTATTGCAAGTAGTGTCTGCATTAGTGATAAATCCATTTGCCTATGACTTGTTCCTGTGCTCAGTAAACAGTTTGTTCTTCGCCCCAATGAATGATTTGTGTTCGTTTTAGATGTGCAATGAACATGAATTGGAATTATCAATAGTGATTGAATGTTAAAGTAGTTCGCGTTAGGGTGGGGCTGTACAATATAAATAACAGCTAGGCCTATAAATATTATAGGCCTACTATGGTGATATTGGATATTACGCCATTACATGAAAGACCGAACGGGACATTGTTCATTTCATTTCATTTATTTCGCCGTATACAATAGGCCTGTATAAAAAGAAAGTCAGAAAAACCATCAGGATGCAAAAAATGTTGGTCCCTGATTCTCCACAAGGACCGGCGGGATAACCAAAAAAATAAATAAATTACTGTCAATGTTCCTCTCCATGCGATGTGGGGAATCAGAAAACAATAAAAAAAAAGACACAAAGAAAAACAAAATAAAGAAACGTTGGGTTTTATGGTTGCCTTCGTATACTAATTCTTTGCCATCCATCTTCCAATACGACTAGACATTTTGTATAATTTTTAAAAAATGGGCTGTAATCGGTTTCTGGGATCCCGTCGAGATACATTCGATTGCCATACGTAACTATATCGCTTGTCCTGTTTCGAAAATTGTCGCAAAACCATGTCCAACCTAGCAAGAATTGCCTCAACAGTGAGTCAACAGTGGGTAGTCTCAAAATAACATTACTCTGGAGCAAATCGCTTTTTCCATTAAACGATATTTCCTGATCATCCCGTATAAAAACCACTTCATTTATGATTAATGGTCATTATGACTGAAGTGCAGATGG